GATACTCAGAAAATCTAAAGGATGTCTGCCACCAAAAAAGGACACGTCTTGGTAGAATAATGAGGTGAAACAAACAATAAGGACCAAAAATGAAAGCTATAAGAAATTGGGCAAAAGTTAGAGCAACGAGAACATAGAGGAGTACAAGGAGACTAGAAGAAGAGCAAAGAAAGATGTGACGGAAGCCAGAGGAAAAGTGAACAAGTAATTGTATGTAAAATTGGGCTCCGAGGAAGGAGAAAAAGATATCAACAGACATGCATCCTCTCCTTCGTGACCGTAGGACTCAAGATATCAGAAAAGTTAAGTGTGTGAAGGATGTCGATCAAAGGGTACTAATGGAGGACGACAAAATAAAAGAGAGGTGGAGGTCATACTTTGATACCTTATTCATTGGGAACAAAGTGCAAGGTATTGATGATCTTACTATACCATAGTGTATGGTAAATCGGGACTTCATGAGAAGGATTCAAACAACATAAATTAAAGAGGCTATAAGAAAAATGGAGCGGAAGAAAATAGTGGGCCCAGATGGCACACCGATTGAGGCTTAGAGAGAAGTGTGGGAGAGAAAAGCATCGAGTGGCTAACACATTTCTTCAACATGATTTGGAGAAATAACAGAATGCCAGTGAGTTGGCGGAAGAGTACTCTCATTCCCCTACTTATAAATAAGGGTGATGTACAAGAATGTGCAAACTATCGAGGGATTAAGCTTATGAGTCACACCATGAAACTTTGGGAGCGAGTGGTTGAGCAAAGACTTCATAAAAGTGTGAAAATTTCAGAGAATTGTTTTGGTTTTATGTCTAGACGCTCAACAACTGAGGTCATTCACCTTCTTAGACAAGTTGTGATGAAGTATAGAGACACAAAAAAGGATCTGTATTTGGTGTTCATTGACTTAGAAAAAGCATATGATAGGGTACCTCAAGAAGTGCTTTGGTGGGCCTTAACTATAAAAGACATATCACGTAAGTATATCACTATCATCATGGGCATGTATGATGCTGGTACTACAAGTGTCCGCACTAGCGAGTGTAGGGAGGACCGCAAAGTTCCTTATTACTATCGGAGTTCCCCAAGGATCTACTCTGAATCTTTTCTTATTTGTTATAGTGATGGATGAACTTGCGAAGTCGATTCAAGAAGATATATTATGGTGCATGATGTTTGCCGACGATATTGTATTGATTGATGAGACGCAATATGGTGTTAAAGCGAAGTTGGAAGTATCGCGACAAACATTGGAGACCAAGGGTTTTAGAGTGATCTGAAGCAAGACTGAGTATATGGAGTGCAAGTTTGGTGGAGGTGGAAGTAGTAGCAACATTGAGTTTACTCTTGATGGTAAGGAGATACTAATGTGCGGTATGTTCCGTTATTTGGGATCCATATTTCAGAAGGATGGTGAATTAGATGGAGATGTATGTAATGGAATCAGAGCTGGGTGGATGAAATGGAAGATTGCATCAGGATTTCTATGTATGCGACTAGATCGAAAGGTAAATTTTATCGAACAGCAATTAGGTCTGCATTAATGAATGTCGTAGAGTGTTGGACGGTGTAGCAATGTCACATTCAAAAGATGAGTGTAGCAGAGACGCGTATGTTGCGTTGGATGTGTGGACATACTAGAAAAGACCGCATGAGGAATGAGATAACCAGACAAAAGGTGTGAGTAGCACCTATAGAAGATAAGATGCAGAAGTCTCGTTTGCGGTGCTTTGGGCATTATGTGTAGAAGACCGAGTGATGCACCTGTTAGATGACTTGAGGGGTGGGGAGAAGAGACAGAGAAGAGAGGGAGGCGAAGATCCAAACAGACTTGGATTAGAGGAATCAAAACTGATATACGTATTCTTGAGTTGGATGAGAGTATGGTTTTGGAGATAGCAAAATGGAGGACGCACATCCGTGTGGACAATTGATATCTTTTCTACATTTCATCATTCTTTTCCTTTATCGTTTATCTTCTTTATGTTTTTATATTCTTATGTTATTTTTATCTTCTACTTTGTTATTCACTTTTATATTTCTATTTTTTATCTTTCTTATATTCTTATGTTATTGTTATCTTATATTTATTTATCTTTATTTTATCCGTTTTATCTTACTTTCTCCCCTCCCTGTCAGTCTCTATGTTTGGCATCGATATTATAAATCGATTCATGTTATACGACCTCAATTTCTTTTGGGATTAAGGCTTAGATGATGTTGTTGTTGTATGGTTCCACAGAAGTTGCGCATATTTGGATGGCGCCGGGCAAATGAAAGTCTATCAACACAAGAAAATCAATTTCGGAGGAAGTTGACACTGAGAGCCACATGTTCTGTCTGTGGCCAAGGAATTGAGGATGGTTTCCATGCGGTGGTGGAATGTACGAAAGCAAGAGCCTTAAGGAACAAGCTGAGAACCTATTGGGACTTGCCTCCCGAAGTCAAATTCAGGAAAACTGGTCCGGAATGGTTTCTTAACCTTTTGAACATGGTAGATAAAGAGAGGCGTGCATGCATACTGATGTTTTGGCGAGCTTGGTACCTGCGGAATGATATTAGTTGTGATCAATAAAAGCTGCCCAAATGTGTTGCAACGGAGGAGGCAGACATATTAGCTTGTACGGAGGGGGTTCGACTGGTCAGAGAATGGATTATTATGCCTCTCATTATAGGAGACTGTGCGGCAGTCATGTCTAGGCTGGAGAATGCATCCTTGGAATCCTACTGCAGCAAATCAAAGAGGCGACAGTGTTTTTCCCCGAGCTCCGCTTCAGTTTGGTGAAGAGGGAGTGCAACCGAGTAGCTCATGAGCTTGCTCAAATTGCAAAGAGACATGGGACAAAGGCGGTTTTACGACTTCAGTCTCCACACGAGATAAATGATTTGATGATGCATGATTGTAACCCTGACTTATTCTATCAACAAATTTCCTTTTCCTCGCAAAAAAGGTGGAATAAATAAATCACTGTACGATCGTGATGAAATCCCGGTGAAATTGCACACTTATATTTGTAGCATTTTCCATTTTTGATACTTCTATTTGACCTTTTCCTATATTTTCTACTTTTCAGCTTCTTTGTCTAGGAATTTGTGTTTCTTTCGATTTTGGGAAAATATTTATTTTAGTGATTAAATTGGAAATGATTAATAGTAACATTTTAGTGTTTGAAAATAAAAGCAATTTTTTTAATAGAAGAAAAGTGGACTTTAAAAAGTAGATATTGGAATGCTTTCATGAAAAGTAATAATTTTTCATAATAGGAATAGTAAAAAGCAATTTTAAGAATCCTCTTACATCTAGCTTTTAGGTTTAAGATGGTTAATATAAATTGGAAACTTATCAGAGTTTGTTCTAAACAAGAGTAAAAATGTTTGTCATTTCAAATCAGAATTTAATTATTATATTTTTACTTCCTAAATAGGAGTAAATTAATGTCATATTGTTACTTTCTAAATAGTATTATTTTTCATGTTTGCAAATAATTGTTCTTATTTAGGGAATAAAAACAAATACTCCTGTTTTGAAATTTCTAAACATTTTTATTACTCCAATTTAGGCAATTTTTCCAAAACTTATTTGAAATAATTACTATTAGCTATTTTAAAGGAAAAACATAAAATACCTTTCTAAGAAGTATAAAACGCTCCTTTCCTATTTTTCATCTATTTCCTCTTAGGTTTTACATTATTTTTAAACTACTTATTAACTCTAACTATTTTTATCTCTGGAAAAATTATATTTACAAATAGAAGAATACAAGAGCATGATATGAAGAAATACTACATATGTCTCTACTTAAGGTTCCCACTAAAAACATAATTATTTAGATAATAATTATATAGGGTAATCCAAATATATGTTCGAGAAATAGTTTTAATTTGATGGATGTAAAATACTTCGGATAATGTGATCATTGATGATAATTGTGATGTTATAGATGCATTGTTTTTAAAGTTTCATGATTAAATTGTCGTTTAAGAGTATTAATTGTTTCTTAATATAAAAATGGTAAATTTTAGTTGGCAAGACCAAAAAAGGCAAATGAAAACCTTTTTTTGAAAGAAAAACGAAAACTATATCAAGATAACAAATCATTCGTCAGACTACTGGCAATACAAAAAGAAGCCGTATCATAAACTACACTACCATCTACATTAGAAAGAGCAGCTCTCGCTAGAGTTTGAGTTACCCGATTTGCGGATAGTTTACACAGAATAACCGACATGTTAGCCTCAACATGAAGCATATGTCTAATATCATCAATAATGAGATCAAAATAAGATTCTCCAGAGCCATCTTCAAGTCTTGAGATGATGAGAGAAGCATCTATCTCCACCTCAACGTTGCTCCAGCCTTATACTTTTGTCCATGACATCAGTTCCCTAATTCCAAACGCCTTTGTAATATGTACCGGTCAATCCGCCATACAAGTAGCAGGCACTACCTCCACTGACAAAACTTCCAAATTCATCTCTAACTATCCACACCCATGCCCGCTTGCCTCATCCAAAGTCCAGAGCGACATCCACGTTTATTTTAAAGAAGCCTGGTCGAGGGCGCTGCCACCTAGTCAGTGACAGATCTCTTTGTATCAAACCAGAAATAAAAAAACATTATATATTATTTAGATGTTAACTTATTATAGACTTATAAGTATAAGTTTGAAGATATTTAGAGTTAAACTTTCTTCTAAAGAACCGTAAAAATCAACCACATTAATTATAGACTTGCATTGGATTTTCTTCTTGTAGTTGGAGCTCTCAATAATCAAAACATGAAAAAGTTGACATTTTACCAATTAGAGATGAAATATGTCACTGAATTTCTGTGTTCCCACTTCAAGTCATCAAGCAGAGAATAAAAAGATCACAGAAGTTCAAACTACAAGGAAAAACAATTGGTTAATTTTAATGGGCGATGGTTTTTGGTTAGTTTTATTCGTTTCTGTAGTTATGGACTTGGCTTGGGTATTCTGCTTGTAGTAGGTGACAGAATGATCAATAATCAAAACTGGAAAAGAAGTTTATAGTTCATCAAATAAAGAAGAAACGATATTACATTGAAAGTCAGTGTTCATCAACAAGACATTAAGACTTTAAGAGTAAATAGGTTACAAATATTCTACATTAAGACATTAAAACTCCATATTCTACATTTCCTCAACATTGATTCTAAATATATAGTCTTCAACATCCAGTTCCTCATGAAAAAGAGATTTTGATGGCTTTTCACTTGGCTTCAACGGTTCCAAGCTCTCTGATGATCGTTGTCCCTACAAATGTTAGAATGGTTAAGCACATAAGAAACATATATTACTGGCCCGTTAGGTGAGTGTTAATTGGTTGAATTTCCCGAGGCTGCTAAACTTTCTATAGAAAAAAGAATTTGGTAACATCAAATTGATCCAAAAAGAAAGTCATCAAAACCTGTTTATTCTGCCTATTCTACTAAAATAGCAGCGCAAGCGATAACTGGGTACCAAACGGAGCCTCAAAAGAATATAAAGTCTTGGAATTGCAGGTTGACCTTTTTCAAGATATAGAAAAAATAGTGAAATGTTTCTCCAAATGTACTCCACTCCACAGACCAAGTAAACTCCGGATTGTTGAAGAAGCGGCGCCTAAAATGAGGCTGCCAAAAGAAACACACGTGTAAGACTTAGGGCCCGTTCGGTGATGAACATTGGCTGAAATGACCGAACCAACTGAATTTTTTGAATGCAGAAGCATTTAGTAAACTCCATTTCAGCCAAATGGAGACTAAGTTCCATTACCTGGCCAAAGGCGATGGAAATGAATATGCCATTGTGTTTCAGAACTCTATGGACTTCTTTAAGCATTTTAGTGACTCTATCTACAGTCACGGGGTGTGGATTCCATGGGTCACCGCTATCCACAAACAGCACATCCTTCAAATTCAGAGGTATTTAAATTCTCTGTTCACTAAAACAAATGCAGGATAAGTTTTAAAAGAAGGATGAAAGCATTATGGAGTCTAACCATCGTTCCTTTCTCTATAACTACATCAAAACATTGATCATCAAATGGCAGATCTAGCATGTCTGCTTCCAGCACCTTAATATCTGATTGAATAGGAAATGGGATGGGATTATTTCTAAAAGACAAAATTATAACTTGCATCTTCTGCATATGTATTTCACACCACTGATATTTTAAGCTTATTTGCCAATTATTATTTTTCAAATCTAAGATCCCATTTGGTAATAAGAAAATTGGAAAAAATTGAGGAACTGCAAAAGAAATTGAGATTAGCTCTTAAAGAAATGAATGCAAGTGTCATTTCCTTTCGTTTCAGCCAAAAGAACTTCTGAACTACTTTTTTCATTATCTACCGAATCAGAGAGCAAAGTCAAAGTGAAGTTGTCTATGGTTGAAAGTTGAAGATTTGATTATATAGCTCATAATCAGAAAATAAAAGCCACAAACGGGCAATGATTTATAAAAAATGAATGCAAAAATGTAATTTCCTTTTATTTCCATATTCATTAAACTAGAATATTAAATTAGCCTTTGGTGAAGAAAATGACAGATAGGACAAACAATAAGAAAAATCAAACAACCGAACGGACAGTAACCCTCTATTCATTAAGTAAAGCCAAAACCATTAAAACACCAAGAAAAAAGCACGACTGCAAAACATAACCTCGTCACCTTTAAAGCCCTTGGAGAGTAATCTGTTCTTCATCTTCTCCACAGCAATGGGGGACAAGTCAATGCAGGTGAGTTTATTAATACCATCTCTACACAGTTCTTCACACATCTGAGAATTCCCACAACCCAGCTCCAACACCTGATCAGTAAGATTTTGAAAAATAGTTCAAATGTGCAATAAAAAAATCAAATCTTGAAGAACATATTTGGAAAAGAAGTGATAGAGAAAATGGATTACAGAAGAATCTGGTGTGATGTGTTGATGAATGAGATGGCGGAAATGGGAGTAATCTTTAAACCATTCGTAGTGCTCTTCTTGAGCAAACCTTTTGTCCCTGATAAAGATAAACCAATCAGTGTTCTTTCCTTTTTAAGAGGTTTGTTGGATGCATAGTTTGCAAATTGAGGAAGATAAATGAGTTGAATAGGATGTGAGTTAATTATAATTAACCTTACCAATACTTTGGGTCGAGGTAGGCTGAAACTGTCGGAGGAGCGACGCCGGATTTCTGCACCTCAGACTTGTTTTCTGTATGGTCCATCATAAGAATCTGTTGGGAATTTGGATGTTGTGTTTGTGTAAAACCCTAAACTGCTGAAGTCTTTCAACCATGGCGGCATTGCCTATTTGTTCCTCAAAACAATAGTTAATCTTTTGTATAAGGGTCATGCGTGTGTACACAAGATTTACACAAAATGTGTACATTGTCTGTGTACTCAGATAATTGAGTATCAAATTCTAACCTTTTTTAAATGAATTGTTTGTGTACACAAGCAACTAAAGAGGTTTTGTGTATAGTTTGTGTAAACTCACGTACACTAAGCATTTTCCTTGTATTAATAAAAAAAATTGAAATAGAGATATTTTACAATAACCACTTCTTGTTGTTATCTACGGAGTACTCCCTCCGTTTCTGAAACAAGTTCCACTTTTCCTTTTCGGGCAGATTCAAAATTAAGTTCCACTTTTCCTTTTCGGGCAGATTCAAAATTAAGTTCCACTTTCAAACATTTCCTTATTATCTATATCAAAACAGTGTCAAACAGTGTCAAACAGTGTTCAAACAGTGCCAAACAGTGCACTCCACAGTAAAGTCAAATTTATTTTCTTAATATGTGTGAAGTCAAATGTGGAACTTGTTTAGGAATCGGAGGGAGTATAAGATAACATGAAAAAAAGGCTTTCTTTTATAAACAAAGTTTTCTTTCGTAACTTGTGAAATTGTCTCCTCATTATTTGCTCTCTAGACACCTCCTCAATTCCTCATTATTTCTCAATTCCACATCTTTAGTTGAGCTGTTAGCCGTTTCTCATGTTGACTCCTTTCATCTCCTCCCGTCCTGCCGACTCATTGTCCTTCTTATGGTGCGGATCACGAGTCGAGCTTAAAGATCCATCCACCAACCACTTATTTTCTCCTGTAAGACAAGTCTTCACCTCACTACTTGCTCTAAGGTGTACCCCAAAAGTTTTTTCCAATATCAGATTTTCTTCTTCCGCCAATGGACGGAATTTATCAGAATGCCCTATGATGCCGCAGACAAAGCAGTCTGGGCAACTTTTCAAATTTAAAATCCACCCAATGCTCAATTCCTCCTTTTTAGGGTTGTACCCTTTTTCAGGGGCTATTCCACTTTCATACACACCCTAACACGCAAGTAAGATTCTCACTTTTCACCAAATTTATTATTGTACCCAAAACTCGATCTCATTTAAACGAATCTATGTGTAATATCATCAGTTTTAACTTCTTTCAAAATCAACAAATTTCTCTCAAATTGGCACGCCCTCCATCAAGAACACGTTTCATATTAACAGAATGAAAGTATAATTGGCGAACCTTTCTAGGACGGAGGGAGTACTTTTTATCACTAATTTCTTTGATTAAAACACCTTTCCCATGCCTCCATAGAGATGCCATAAGCTCTTTGAACACCGGAAACTTGATTTTCCCGTCTGTTAGCAAAACTCCCACCATCGGATAACTCGACCGAGTCTCCTGAACTGGGACATCATCGAGCTCAGCATCATCCAGGTCGAATTCCTCGGCTTCCTCTTATATGTTCATCTACTTGTACTGGTCAGCAATTCATTTCATGCAGTCCTTGTTGCCTCCTTCCGCACAAAACGAAACCAAAACTGACATCCTCGCAACCAAAACGAAACGATTTGACAACCACACTGACTATCGCTACCCTTTCCTCCAACCGAAGCCCCTAATCGCAAAAGGATTTACCGAAAAAAACGGCACCGCTCCTTGACGATGGTCGATAGCGGACAACAGCGCTCTAGCGTTAAAACCCTAGAGAGAGATTTTCTTGAATATGCCAAAGACATAAAATATTATAAATATTTATTTATTTAATTTTTAGTAATTTCATTGCTAATTTGTGACGATTTTTTATGCACAAAGGTTTATTGGTTTAATAAGGTTAAATAATATCAAAATTTTACGTAAGAAATACTAAAACTTATGGGATTTTAGATTTTAGATTCATAGTTTTCAATCATTTAAACCGTATATCGATTAATAGGGGTGGAGACAGAGAGAGGCTGGAGGGGGCCTTGGTCCCTGCAGGAAAAAAATTCTCAAGTATATATTATGTATAAATATTTGAGTCTAGAGAAAACTATGTAGGTATTTTAAACTTTGGTCCTGACAATGTAAAATTATCAAAGCTCAGCCTCCTTATTGATATATTTTTGGCTCCGCCCATAATGGATACATTTGTTCTTTTAAGTTTCTTATTGAGAGTGAACGAAATAGTTGTCCTAATAGCCCTGTTTTTCTTTAAGTTAATTATCATTTAAAAACTTTTAGGCTTTTACCTTTTTGGTACGAAATTGTTGCTTGTTAAAGTGCTCTTGGCTTGATTGTGTGTAGGGTTGTAAACGAATCGAATCGAACCGAATACTTGATAATATTATTCGTATTCGTATAATTATCGAATATTCGTATTCGTTTAAAATCCGAATCTTATTTTGTATTCGTATTCGATTCGTTTGATATATTCGAATCTTTTTCGAATCGAATTTGAATATTCGAATTCAAAAAACATTAAAGTTAATTTGTGAAAATAATTAAAATTATGATGTTAGCTAGTTTGCCCCTTTCAACTAATTTTGATATTACATATTTTATAGGAAACAAAATTCATTTATAGAAGTCACTTCAAATTTAATATCAATATAAATAAATCAACGGAGAATTTTAATTGTAAATTAAGCTATTTTGACCTGGTAAAGTAAGAATTTTTAAATTAAAATATGCAAAATATTTACATGAATATTTTGTTATTAATATTTTTACATTGAACTATATGTATTCATAAGAAGTAGTATATATTGTATGAATATATATATATATATATATATATATATATATATATATATATACAATTTGAATATATTCGAATATTATTCGAATCGAATGGCATAGTATTTGTATTCGTATTCGTAAAGTATTTGAATCAAAAAATAGATTTGTATTCGTATTCGTATTCTATATCAAAATATAGAATCAAAATTATTCGATTCGTTTATAGTCCTAATTGTGTGTTTAATTTTGTGATTTGTTTTGGGGGTTAATTATCAAAATAGGACTAAAAGTCACTCACTTTGTACAAGTAGGACAAAAAAATAAACTATATTTTTGTTGGATAATTGATACCCATATTGTACTCCCTCCGTCCCTAAGTGTTCTTCCAAAATAAAGTGGCACGTTGATTAAGAAAGTGAGAATTGTGTGGTGGAGAGTTGTGCAGAGGAGAGAGAAATGTTGTGAACCACAAATTCTTTGCCAAAAAGAGAAAGTGAAGTTCTTTTTGGGACGGACGAAAAGGGAAAGTTGGAAGTTCTTTTAGGGACGGATGGAGTATAAACTAGGAAAGATTTAACTTAGTAAATGGAGAAGAAGGATGGATAGCAGAAATGATATGAGTTGTATGAGTTCTCCCTCACAAGCCTTACATAAAGGAGTATATATAGGGAAATCCGTGTCTGGGCTTCTAATATCAGCCCGGCAGACCCGGTTACATAAAGGGACTGATAGTATAAAATACTAATCTAGAACATCTGAATAATAATGTACAACAATATGAATCCGCTAAACGTGTGTGGGCCGCTGTCCAGGCCCAATCGGCAGGCCAGGGGGTCGGGGTCCATATACTCCATCAATTTTCATAGGACTAATTATGTGTGTCTTCGACAAATATACTCTTATAGCTATATATTGAAATGTTTTAATTCATAATAAAATAATAAAACATAATAACAATTTGCAAAAAATATTAAAAAATTAATAAAAATATTTCGATAATAATTTATTTATTTATTTATTTTCATAAAAAAAAAAAAAAATAAAATAAAATAAAATAAAAAACTCAAAAAAATAAAATAAAATTCACCGCCGCATCTGCACCACCACCTCCAGTCACCAGGGGAAAAAATGCCAAGTTCTTATGGAAGAAAACAATGAAAATGTTGGCATTCTCAAAGAGAAATATGTCATGTTTTTGGCATTTTCAGAAAAAATGACAGCTTTTAGGAAAAATGGCATTTTTTTCACCGTCCGGAGATGGTGGTGCAGGGAGGTAGTACATGTGGTGGGAAAGGCATCTATATTTTTTTTTATTTTTTATGGAGTTTTACTATTTTTTTATTAATTTTTTTAAAAAATAAAAATTAAAAAAACATCAATTTTTTATTTTATAAATATTTTATAAAATTTTTAATTATTTTTCTACAAATTTTTGAATTTTTTTCGAATTTATTATGAATTAAAAATTTAATTAACTCATATTTAAAGGAAGGGTAAGAATGGAATGAAAAAATAGGTATGTTTCCAATGAGACTAATATGGTCCTATTTTGAAAAGAAACACATAATAAGTCCTATTTTGAGTTTTTGTCATAATTTTAGTCATATTTGGAGTAATTTCTATTGTTTTTTGTGTTTCTGATGTTTATGGTTTGCATACGAGTATTTTTTATTGCAATTTGCTTTTGGTCATTCGCGGAGTTAACCGTCCAAGAATCCACTCCGCCTGAGACACTAACTCAAGCATTGTAAATTTTACAGACTTACAGGAAGAGTGGAATCATTCGGCACCGAGTCACTGAAGCGATGGATCACGGTGGCGGGATAATTTGGGTCATTGAGGCGGTGGTCGATCACTAGTGGTCGTGTCCTCTGAGGGTGCCGCCGATGGGTCACTACGTGCTGGAATCATCGACACTAGGTCACTGGAAGTTACATTTTTGGCTATTACCTTTATTTTGGTCATATAATTGGAATTATTTCATGTTTTAATTACATTTTTGGAAATTTAAAAAACGTCTCCATTGCGCTGTGGACGATTATATATAATCAAACTTCTGTCGTTGACTTAAAAATCTTCATTTCATGGAGTGCGCGTTGCTAGCTCCAATTAAAAAAAGATGACCGTCTTTCATTTTTCAAATAAAACGATATCGTTTTATTGGAAACCAAAAAAAGGGAAACCAACTTCTTCAACTAAATAGACTACCTCCCTAACCGTATGGTTGAAAGGTATAAAATCCTACCTTCTAGCTTTTATACTATTTAGATAATCTTTAAAAGTTCTTAGTTGTATGTTTGACATGACAAATTTTAAGAGCTCTTTTAAAAATAAAATAGTCGTATTTTTTTGAGATGTTACATTGAGTAGCATATGAGAATTTTTTTGTAGCTTTTAGCATTTACTAGTCCCAAACATCCAACAGCTTGTGTACCAAACATAACTAAATCAAATCGTTAGGTTTTTCTCATACATCTACTACATTTTTCTTTTAAAATCTTTTAATCATTAAAATCTAACAACTACTCCCTCCGTCACATTTTATTTAGTTGTGTCAAACATACTCTAAATGGGCATAAGCAATTCTTAATAATACTTTTACCAAAACTCTAAAATATATCCCGAAATAATTTTGGCTTTATATATTCAAGAGATAATTTTATAAGCAAAGAAAAGCTTACCAAACGGGCACTATGTGTCCCAAATATCGGACACTCGATATTCTAAATTACATTACATTTTTCTAAATAAACAATACATGCTAATGGTGCTGAGATGCAAATTGAGATGTGATTGTTGAGTTTCCACTAGAAAACTTAATTGAAGTATTTAAGTATTTAATGACCAAATGTGTGCATTTGGTTTGAAACATTCGAAAATCGATCGATTGATTTATTTGTCTCATTCTGTGATCATAGAACGAAGGCTTGATAAAAACTAGATAGACAAAGAAAGAAAATCTCACAAACTACATCCTCAAGAACTCTAGATTTATTGTAGGAAACTTCCTTGATACGTAAGTTATGCACATCAATGAACCCCATGTTTTTTAAAACATACTTCCAAATATCACTCGTGTTTTAGTCTCGAATAACAAATGGAAATTGGATGAATCAAAATTCTTTAATACTCCGTACTTTAGACATTTAAGTATTTAGATAAATTTACATGAATATTTAGTCATAACACTAAGACCCAAGTTTTTTTAGAATTCGTTTGATACTTTAAGCATAAAACTACGCAGAAATGATCGTATGTAAAGTTTAGAGTTTAGAGATAGTATCAATTTTATTGAAGATGAGTTTCGCGAATGAACTTATCAATTTATCATGTCTATTCATATTAACAAAATTTAATAATCATATATAATTATAGAATAAAAACGGGCTAGACACCAATTAAGGATCTACTACAACATTAGAGTACGTGCTTGGTTTAGTTTCATTCATCCCTTTGATTAATTGTTAGTTGGAACTTAAACAAATTTAATACATGAACCAAATTAGTTTTATACAGAGGAAAAACAGAGAATCAGATTGTATGGAAGTTTATTATTCAATTAGTAACTTCTTATAACAGGGATTTTTCAACTCAAAATTGCAACGTATAGAAAGATTTCCGATTCAAGACATTACAGAAGTTATAGATGATCCAGCAGAGACTCAGAAGTAGTCTAACCATCGTTGACATATTTCAGAGACCGTAATGGCCTTCTGGTTGCACCGGAAACGAAGGAGCACCTACCGGAGCAGCTTGATAGCCAATGTTACATATGCCTTCAGTGGAATTAACATCGCAGCCTGTCTGCTGAATCTGGGAAACGCTGAACTGAGACTGGTCAACCATATGAGGAAACGGCGCGGACACTTGATGGACGACGATCCTGCTGTTATGGAGCAGATCTAGGGTCACCACTCTAACGTAATTTATCCTCAACGGCACAAGCGCCCCTCCGCCGCCGGGGTTGGTCACCACAAGCTTCTGCTCATTATCCATGGTAGGCAGAACAGTCCCGGTAGGCAGAGTCACCAGCTCAGATGCAAGGATTCTCCGATTTGGAACAACATGGAAATGAAAATTAGATAGATAGAGTAATCCGTTACCGGTGAGGAGATTGGCGTCGTCGAGAGCGAACACCGTCATCGTCTTGAGCCTCGAAATCTCGGCGTACTTCACTTTCATCGCCAGAGCAACGATTCTGTAACCGATGCTCTCCAGCCGGATAATGGCGTCGTTTTGCATAAGGCGCATAATTGAGATCATCATCGCTCCAGATCCGGAAGCCGACACCAGCGACTGCGGAGGGAAGGACATAGTCGTCATCTCCTCCATGTTACACGACTTCGTCGAGAGGTGAGTGAGGAAGCCTTCGACACCGTGAATCACCATAACGGCGTTGTGGAAGATGTCCGGCTGAACGATTTCGGCGCCGTTGACGAAAACCTTCCCCGGATCCTGATCCCGAGGCACTCCGCCGATGGTCGTCGTGATGGTGAGGCAGCGATTTTCAGCTAGAGTTTGAATTTTAGTGTCGGAGGCGAGCTTGCGGAGAAAGTGAAGCGGATAGAGTCCTGGAACAGAGTGCTCTTGTAGGAGTAGCGGGAGAGAGCATGTAGGACAGGTGGCCAGCGATGAATCTGCCGGAGCAAATATGGTGATCGGCGTTGTAGCAGAGATATTCGCCTTGACGGCCGCTGTAGACAGCTCCTGGAAGCCTAGTGTGAAGAGAATTGTGGCAACTAGAGGAGGCGTGTAAACCTCTTCTCCGGGACGAGAAGACTGCGGTGATGAAGATGAAAGCGACGGAGACAAGTCAAGCGGTGAGGTGGCGGCCAATGCAGTGGCTGTGGAGATGACGACGGAAATGAGGATGAGGAGGAGCGTCTGCAGCTTCCCAGCGGTGGCCATGACGGTTTCTCAGGATTTACAGAGAGAGATTTCGGATTACCAGAAGAGATGGAGAAAGAGCGTGAATGTGATTAGCGGAAGAGTGATGGAATGGAGTGAGAGCATATAAATAAAACCGTTATGTAACGACTCAAAGGCGGGAAAAGAACGAATTCCAGATGGCAATTCTGTTTTGAGAGTCGGAGTAATTTGACAATTTTGCCTCCCCCTATGAACGCATTGTCAGTTTTGACCTTCCTCTCTTGTGCTGTAACAAATCTAACAATTACACCAAATGCAATTAGCCATTCTAAAAATGCAATTCAATCTCTTTTAAGCAACTATATTCTCCATTTGGTTGTACGGTCACCATCGTACATCCAATCCAATTAATGAAGACAACAGCTCATTAATTAATACAAAAAAAGGATGACACCCATCCCTGAGAGTCCCCCAACCCTAACCGGATGGTACGTTGGGAGGATGTAAATTGGACTATAATCCCAATCTGACAGATAGAGAGTGAGACTCTGTCCCCGGTACTTGCAGAGGCCCTATGCATTTTTAGCATAGTAACCCCTCATCGCAGTTGCCGGGATTCTAACCCGGGACCTAACCCTTGTGACACTCCCTTGCTACCAGTTGAGCTACGCCCACCGATATTAATTAATACAATACACAACCCTAAGAATCAATATTTGGAAGTCGGTGATATTTTCGTAATCTAAGTGAAAAATCATGATTTTTGCTAAATGAGTATTAACTATTCACTATTAATGAACAGTTAAGAGTCTAACAAAGAGTATTTTAAAAATTCTTTTAGTGAACATCTGAATATTTTATTGACTATTAAGAGTCTAACAAAGAGCATCATGATTTCTGCTTCATATATTCAAATTCAAATTCTTTTTCTTATTTTTTTCTTTTATAAAACTTACTAAGTTATATCTATAATTAACTCCTATTAATTTCAATACGAGAATTTAATATAAGATGATACTTTCGAAATATGCATTGATATGACATTTTAAAAATGAGCACAACATCAGTACCAAATGATCATACGTAACTTACAAATGTTCATTAATATTAAAAACGTAAGGTTTGTTAGCAGAGTATCACGAAATTTTCATTGATAACCAAACCTCATCTATGGAGATGAAAATCACGATTTCTGTTAAATGAGCTTTAGTTTATTTTTAATGAGTTTCAGACATATTCTGTTTAGTATTATTGAGTCTCGTGAATTCTACTTCATAACTTCTAATTAACTTTATTTTTCCTATTCTTTCTTTTATGAAAATTTCTTAAATTATATCTATAATCATATCCTATGGATTTCAAAATATGAATCCAACTTAATATTAAATTTTTGAATATGCATCAAGACATTTTCATTGGACATCAAAACATTTTCATTGAACATCAAGTCTTCTCTATTGAACACTGGAACTCTGCAATTGAGCATAAAAATTTCAAAACCTATTGATCATCAAAACATCTTCATTGAATAATCGGTCGTAGTAGTGGTTATCTTAAAATGTTATATCAATGTACATTCCGTGTAATTATTTTACTCAATTGGGTAAAGCAGAAAACTCATTTTTTGTACTCATTTTATAATGTTCTATCAATGCTCATTTCTTTAAATGTTATGCTCATATATGTGTGCATAAAGTTCATTTCTATGAATCGCACATGTAACATGTTCATTACAAAGAACTTTGAATAAATCTTTCTTAAAAATAATGTTAACCAATTTTAACATGATGCACATTGTACAATTGGTGAATGCTCATTTTAAATGTAAATTGAAAAATATACCATTAATCGCTCCAAATATCACCTAAGAATCATTAATATTTGAATCCAATATATCAAAACTAACCACACATAAAACCTAATAGCAAATTGGTTAAATATAAAACTTAGAAAATAATAAACGAAATCAAGAATTACTTAATTCAAGTAGCATAAAAGCTATTTAATTCAATGCAAAAAAGAACTGTTATGCAAAATAAATTATGCATAGTCTATGCTATATTCAAGTGCAACAAAGTTTATTTAAAATTTGATCAAGAAATGAACAAAAATTTACTTCAGAATTTTTATTAACAGTTGGTGGGCATTACTATTTAGAAGATAATTTTAATGAAATTATTGGATCGTTACTAGTTAAATAGAGTGATGAAGATGTTTCAATCAAATTATCATTACCATTATTGTTTTCAGAATTCAAGTTAAGTACATTTTGGAAAGAATTTTAATTATTGAAATAAGGAAAACAAAACGGAAGGAAGATGTCCATGTGCACAAGGAGCAACATCGGGAGAGTAGAGCAGGGTGCAGGAAGTTCAAATGAATCTTTGATAATTAGATAGAAACTTGTAAAGAATTACAAAAATATCGGGTATATAGCTACCGTTGTATGTATGTATGTATAATTTGCGTGTTTCAGGGCAACAATTACTTCATCTTGTTGTTCATGTCAGTCTATGCTTCTAGCTTTCTTGTAAACTGGTTGCCTATTGTTTAGCTCACACATGAGGTGTACATCAATGAGATTTCCCCCTTTATTATAGTTCAAATGTCGATTAGATCCTCATACTTCAAAAACACTCAATTGAAACCCCCTGAACTCTTAAAAACGTTCAATTCAAATTTGTAACTGGTGGAAATCCGGTTTTCCGATTTATAGCTTGTGTGGGGTTTTATTTCTTTTTCTCAGCGAGATCGCCAGGTCGTCATGCAGTTTGTTAACCGGGAAATCGGATTTGGACCGGTTAAAAAGCTCAAGGAAACGTTTTGAAGAGTTCAGAATTTTAATTAATTGTTTTTAAAATACGAGAACGTAATCGACATTTTGACTATAGTGCGGGGACTTATCTGGTAGTTTTCTCAATCCTAATACGTTGATAATTATATGAATGCAGACACAAATGCAAGTATTATAGACACTCTGAATAATGACACTCCCACTCTACCCAACTAGTTCATTGATGCAGCCAAATCCACACTAAACCAATGTTATATCCCTAAATCTAAATATTGAATGTTGATGAACAAACATGAGAAAAATATATAGAAACTATTCTTAACGGGACTGAGATTTAGACAAAATGCATAAACATGATGTACTACGTATTATTTTGTTCCCGAAATAGGATTTATATAATCATATTAAAAGTATAAAACTTCCCCAATTAGAAGTGAATGAGTTCTAATTTCGGAAGAAAACAATAGTAGACCTATATGATTACTTTATTTATGTTTTAGTTCTATATATATAAAAAATCATGTGTGTGTGTGTGTGTATCATGAACATACAAAATTGCTAGGGGTAAGACACTAATTAACAGTAATCCACTTAAGATAAGAATTGATTATGTTAGGATCGTATCCGTCTCCGGCTCAGGTCTCCAACCACTCTACACTAAACTCACAGACACCCTCTAGGGCTAGGCCACAACATCTCCCATGTTTACTCACTCTTCTTCACTCCATAAAGGAACTCTCACACAAGGAAAGTAAGAAGGAAGACACTGCTCTCTGGGATTATTTACGCAGGCTTATCTCAAAGGGGCAAACAAAAGGACTACAAATAGGCTGCCAAGGAAAGTCACGGGTGAGGCTAATCAACAGGGTGTCACAGGCTGCCAGACAGGAGGTGCAGCGGACAACAACAAATAAAGGGGGCTCACATATTGTAAGTCAACAGGCACCAATGAGTGATTTCAACTAAGGGAATCAAAGTGGGAGTAAACATGGGGTGCAAGCCTTAATAATAAAGTGGAAGGGAGGCCTTGGTAGGACCAATACCTCCAACATTCTCCACCTTATTGGTCCTAGGTGGTGTAGAGTAGCAAAACAGGTTGTGAGGAGACTCATCATCGTCGGGTCACCCGGAATATCAACAGATAAAACGGGCAAACACTTTATTACGCAACCCACAGTTATCCACAGTCAAAGTTTAACACGCGTTTACAGGACAAGTGCTTCTCAGCAGAAAGACACTTGGTACCCATATCCGCAGGGTTAAACTCTGACGGGATCTTGCACAGCTTGACTCCACCTGCATCAACAATATCACGTATGAAATGGAACCTAACATCAATATGCTTAGTTCTATCATGAAATACAGGATTTTTGCAAAGTTGGATAGCCGATTGGCTATCCGAGAAAATGGTAACTCCCTTTTTGAGAAATCCAATTTCGGAGACAATGCGTTTGAGCCAGATGGCTTCCTTAAACGCTTCTGTGGCTGCAACATACTCGGACTCAGTGGTAGAAAGGGCCACAATAGGCTGTAGTTGAGACTTCCAACTAATGCAAGAGCCACACAAAGTAAAAACATAAGAAGTGGTCGACTTCCTGTTATCTCTATCATTTGCATAGTTAGAATTAACATAACCAATCAATTCAATACCACTAGCACATTTAGAGAAAATTAATCCATGCTTCATAGTAGAAATCAGATATCTAAGCAACCACTTAAGAACATTCCAATGGGGCAAACCAGGGTTGGACATATATCTACTCAAGCAACTAACCGCATATGCAATATCAGGTCTAGTGCTAACCATAAGATACATAACCGACCCTATTGCGCTGGAATAGGGCACATATTTCATTTTCTCAATTTCAGGAGCAGTCTTGGGAGACTGGTCCTTACTTAACACAAAGTGAGATGCCATAGGGACATTAACAGGAGAAGCAGATAACATATTGAATTTACTCAAAACTTTTTCTATGTAAGAAATCTGATTCAAAGTAAGAGTGCGCTTACTCCTATCCCTAACAATGTTTATGCCTAAGATCCTCTTGGCATCACCTAGGTCTTTCATGGCAAAATTCGCACAAAGACATTTTTGCACATCTTTAATAGCATTCAGAGAAGGACTAATTATCAGCATGTCATCCACATAGAGTAACAAAAATACAGGCACAGAGGAAGTATTCTTGAAATACAGGCAATGATCACAAACAGATTTTTGAAACTTCAAAGATATCATGCATTTATCCAATTTGATGTTCCACTGCCTAGGGGATTGCTTCAGGCCATACAATGCCTTCCTAAGCAAACAGACATGCTC